TAGCGTGTATATATATATATATATATATATAGATATATATATATATATTCTCTCGACAGTTACGTGAGTAAATTTTCTCGCGTTACTCTTTCTGTTTCTCCGACTCGATGCCGCGAATTTTATCGTAATTCTGCAAGGTTTCGTACAGAATGATATAATTATCGCGAAGCTGTACCAAACGATGCCACAGGTTTGCGTGGATCACGTCGTTCGATTTCGACTCGGCCTCGGCTATCACCTACGGAGAGGGGGAGAGTTTCGTTGATAAAATTGCAATTGAACAAAAACGAGGAGAAAGGGAGGTTGGTTAAATCAGGATTTAAGGATTACTTTGTCGGTGGTCCGCCGCGCGCGATTCACTTGAAGGTACTTGAGATGAAAGAACAGCTCGTATGCCCAACAATCGATGGTCTCGGTGTTGCGAGTCGCGTTGGTTAGTTCGATGGGGGGGGACGCGGTGGCCAGGGCGATCGCTTGGAGCCATCGTTTCAACTGAAACATAGGATCATAGGGTTTTCAGATCGCGTTTTCACGCGGGGAAAAGGTGATTGAAACGCGTAAGGAATTTAGGGAGGGGGAATGATTACGATCGTTGTGTCAGTGATTAGCTTCACCACGGCGGGCCTCATAATATCGATCAGCTTCCCGATCACGGTCGTATCTTTCTTTAACGTGGTCACGTAAGTGGAAAGGGAACTACTCCAGTTCGACGAAGGTCCGCATTGTGCGTTCTTCAATTCTCGCCTTCCAAAGAGATACGGGTTATCTTTAATTTTTATTCTTCGTTGGTTATATACCACCCACCTTTGGAAGAACGTCGGGATTATGTTGTCCACGATGTACTGGGACGGAGCTATGACGATCTTTTTCGTGCACGTGGCCAGTGTGCTGAATAAAAATGCCAACAGTTGTCCAAGTGGTCCTGGCCTTCGACGCACGTTGCAACCAGTTATGCCTCGGGAACGATAGTATTTCCTTTTGCAAATACCGTGTCGGGATCGACTGCGATCACACATCGACAGAGAATAGTAACTCGAAACTATATAGGAACCAGTGATAGTGAAAGGAGGTCCGTCCTGATATGAATGGAAACGTGAAACGTGAATTTTAACATTAATAATTACCGCCGTAATCCGAGATACTGTTTAGATCGCAATTTTTCGAGGTGGATATGGTCGATTGACACTTGACTTTACCCTCGATGGGGATCGTGTCGTCGTATTTGTTATTCTTCACAGATTCCGGCATGTACTCGTTCACGAAGCTGTTCAATTCGACGATTTTGTTCGGGAATGTATCCAGACAATTAAAAGCCTATGCGGGGAATGTGTACAGTGAAACGGTGTTACGGAGGTGGTTATGGAGGTTATGGACGGATTTATAGGATGGATGATGGGAAAATGACGTTCGTACTTCTTGATGGAGACGCTCGAGACACGAGACCTCGCCACTTGTCTCCGTTGTCATGTTGTTTCGCAATTAATTGATTAATACGTGTGATCGGATATTTAACGTAAATTTAGATTAACATTCATCTTGGCATACCAAGGGGGGCTGAAAACCAGCGTTTAAAATTCTCGAGTAACCTGCAGAGAATTCGGAAAAATTTCGACAACGAACGATCGCGATATATCCATTCTGATCACGTACGCGAACGTATCACCGAACGCGAACCAGAACGAACTTGTTAACTTCATATATACAACTCGTTCTAATCTTCGACCGCCAATTCGATTGATAAAAATTGTCAAAATGGCGCACCGTGTTTCGCATCAAATATATATATATATCGAATAACGGGTTGTACATGGTCGCATCTTGTCCCTTTAAGAGGAACAAGATCAACTGCTTAAATTTTATTAAAAACTTTTATAAAAAATATCATTAAGATTTAAACCTCTCGAAAACGAATATTAATAGATATCGATAGAAGGTAATTGAAGATAAGAAGAAAACTTGTTTTACGAAGAAAATTAATTTATCGACAATTCATTTCCACGTCTCTTGGCCAATCCAACTGACCAACTTCGCTTGTATTTGAGAAAAAATTTTTTCAAATTCGAGCATTTCTTTTAGAGACCATCCATCTAAATGTATAAACCGATGCATGTACAAGTACAAGCCTCGTGCGATTATATTATTATTATTATTATTATTATATACGAACTTTCTTCTGCGAAAAAGAGGCTCGAAAAATAAATAGTGTAACGAGCGATTCATATATATATATATATATATATATAGGATGCATTCAAAAGCGAGACGGTTAATGAGAATGCAATGGGCGCCTTAACTCCGCCTAGGATCGGCGAGCTGGAAACGGATGTGCTCCCAGATTTTTCCTAATTAAGATGTAGCCAGTGCAACTCCATTACGTAAAGCAACCATCTTGATTTACCGTTCGGCTCGACGGCGATCCGGCCGCACAACACAAACCTTTATGGGCACGAGAGAATTGGAGGGAGGAGACGGGGAGACGAGACGAAACGAGGGCCGCGGCCCCCCCGTGTTCTGCCTTCCCCCCCCTCCCTGCCCTCGTTCCAACCGTCCTCCCTTCCCTTCCTTCCTTCCTTCCTTCCTTCCTTCCTTCCTTTTCTCCCCTCTCACTCTCCTCTTCTGTCCTTTCCTTTTCTTTTCTTTTATTACATTAGTGTGTTCGCGGAGTTTTGCGGAGGTGCCGAGGTGAGATCTCCTCAAAGATCTCTACCTACGATGCACGACTACGCTATTACTCGCCGGAGCTGGCAAGGGTTTTGCCTTGGAATGCGATGCAAATTTTATACGGATCGGTATAACCCCCTCTCTCCAAATACCACCGCGAATCTGAATCTCTGTTAGAGTCGAGGCTTGGCAAAATCCGAGTTGAACTGCGAAGGATTTTCGTTTAGAATATACACTCGTTCTATATATATATATATATATATATATATATATATAGGAGGGGGATAGAAATATCGCGATAGAATATCTTTATGGAACGACGATGCGTGTGATCGAAAATTCTTGTCCTGGTGGGAAACGGGATTCGCGGAGTTATCGGGAGATTTATAAGTGAAAAGATTCTGACTATCTGGAGCGTAAAGACTGATATGGATGTCGGCGGCTGACAGCGCGACCAAAGACAGCCACGAGAAAAGGAACGAGAAGCGGAGGGGAAAAAAGAAGGAAAAAAGAAGAAGGAGAAGAAGAAGAAGGAGGAGGAGAAGGAGAAGAAGAAGAAGTCAGAAGGTATCACGGCCGAAGACATTTCTATGCGCGCCCACTGTCAGCGAAGATAACTTACGACTTGGCGGAATGGTAATGACCGTGGCAGACATTCCGTCCTGTTGCAGATTTAATAGACTCGTCCTGATAGGGGGCTACGAAACATGTCATCGCTCGTGACCAACTTGTGTGTGCCCGGTCAATGATTTACCGATGGACACGTCTTGTCAACACCGCGATTTCCAATCTTCTTCTTTTTTTTTAAAAGATGAGTGAAAATCCCTTGCATTTATATTCATTTTATTCTACGATCACATTTCGAACCATTGTTCGAATCGTTCGTATTTTTATATTTTTAGGGCGTGTAATCGCTCGCTACTTATCTGACTGTGTATGTACGTTGAGCCAAAGTATGGTTAAACACAGATACCGTGACTCTTTTCTCCCGATAGCAGAGAGCACTTCGACAAAAAACGTGTTTTGTTTTCACAATCTTTCATCGCGATTATCTGATTAAATATGAATAAAGTAAAGTATATGAAAGGAAAGGATTTGAGAGTTGCTCTTAATTTTTTTTTTTGTTTTTTACGAATAAATGCTGAACTTTGAGGATAATTTTCATTCTCGATATTATTCATTTATGAAAAAAAATTACACATAAAAGAATACGAAATTCGGCAGGAATTAAATAATTCTCGTTCCTTTCTCTCACAGTGTGATAATTATCAATTGTGAAAAATTATGGTCGGGGAGATGGTGAACGCGTAACAGGCAAGCTACTTTGTACAGCAACGAGGTCGACACGGACCGGTATATAAACCTCAATAAAGATAAACTTAGCCCGGCCGTTGGGCTATATTTAAGCATGCGCCTCTTTGTTCGAAAGATTGTCGCGCTTACTTAATCGGATTGTTCGAAACCGTTACAAAGAAAATAAAGCAGCGCGTAAATTATGAAACGAGTGTGAATAGATTTCGTAATAGGAGAAACTTCTCTTTAACTTGCTTTCTAATGGATTCTAGCCAGCAGCTAGAACTCTTGTGTTCAAAAGGGATTTTTTTTAAACTTCTTTTGTTCTGCTTATTTCTGGTTATATACGTGTCGCCCTCTTTTAACGCTTCCCTTTTGCTCAAATCGCGAGGAGGAAGGAAAAGAGGAAGGAAGGGAACGTGCGAAAGGGATAAAACGATTTATCGTTGTCGTGATCGCGTTAATTGAGTTGGCACTCGATGAAGAACACGTTGTGTCGACGTGTCGGGTCAACGATGAAAGATAACCTACGAACTTTTAGCACTGGAAACAATGACGTTTTTCTATGGAATGCGGCGTGCATTCCGTTTCTCGTCGCTTCGAGGAATAACTCGTTTGCAACTCGATACAGATTGAAATCTTTGAAATCGTATAGGGAAAATGTATAGGGAAAAAAAGAGAGAAATCCCCATCCGTCATCTATGTTTGTTCAAATAATAATAGTTCGTCAGTTAATATAAAAGAATATCATGGAACGAGAAACGTCATTGAATTGATGATAAAATGCACCACAGATTTTTTTTTATACAAAGATTAAAAGTATATGTCAGAAAGATCATAGAAAATAGAGTATAACTAAACTTGTACAATTATCTATCATTTGTTTGAAATAAAATTTGAATAAAATGATCTGGTCTGTAAAATTTTTTATTCAAATTTATGTTTTTGAGGATTGGAAAATGAGAATGATAGTCATTTTTCACGGAAATAAAACGTTTGGAGGATGATACAATTATATGATAGATTTTCTCTACTGATAAATTGGTATTGTTCACCAATTAACGAACACGATATGAAAAAATCAAAACGAATGAAAAGAAACAACTATGATTTAGATTCGAATCAGAATCTAACGAAACCAAAGAAAGAGAATCATAAATAAATTAATGAGCGAAAAAAACGGATCAGTTTCCCTCCTCCCAGAAATATATAAATTCGCTTCGTTTTCCTTTTTTACCGACGCCTTGTTACGTCCTTAATTTAACAAAAAATTAATCTGTTAATACACCGATCATATACCGACCGTAGATAAGCAAGTAACAGAGAATTCGTTTCGTTCGGCCATCTGTCAACGCGTCTTCCCTTGCACAACAACGAACGTATATCTTAAATCGTCGTTCCTCGATACCTCGTCGTTTTCATTTCGTGCAATTATCCTTCCTTCTTTCCCCTCCCTCTCTCCTTTCCTTCAATACACATTCACACGGAGAAAGATTTATCGGTCACGTCGAATCTCCAAATAGGAAAATCGCCAACACTCTTTTTCCCGTTTCTATCACTGGCTACTGTTATCGATCGAATCCGCATGACTTATTATTACGAGATGGGCGTTAATACGGGACGTAAAAGCGAGCGAATATAACTGCGGGGCGAGGATGATCGTGTGTCGTCGTGTGCTTGGTTAAAGTTTCCACACCACAGTCTCCGTGCAACACTGTTACGGCGAATCTCCTTGCCACCTATCTGAAATGGCATCTGAATTTTTCCAGCACACACACACACACACATATACACACCACGGAGTGTGTCCTGCGAGCCGCGATATCGCGCATTCACGCCACGTTAGAGGCTTCGACTTCCAGAGTTGCAGTGTCTTGCACGCTAATTACAACGTATCCGCGGCTGAGATTGAACGCGGGCGATATTTCATAT